TGACTGTGTCCCAATTGACAGCTGCATGGGACCATACACCTGTGCATACCTGTGTGGGTAAACATGGTACTCCATAGGTGTATGGGTATGTACGCCCCGTGTACATGAGACCTTAGTATGTTAAATATTGCAATGACAGGTAGACAGATACTAAAGCACAATCAGAATTGCTGTTTTATCTGCAGTGATATAAAGCCAGTGAACCATTCAAATGTCAAGGCAAACAATGAAATATTCTAGGACAGATGCTTCTGACGGCTCACTGTTTTCACTGCTATTACATCTCTTGTTTATATTTTTCTAGGAATAATTTCAGCATGGAATTACACAGCTGTATATTCCTGTAGGGAGCATAGGACTTCAAACAATATGACTCCCTGCACCGCTTCCCTGCCAAGTGCTCAGTGTACCATGAAACGTCCGGCTGCCTCTGCTTCTTCATGTATTTTGTTTCACAATTATTTTTTGCTTTGTTGCTTCATTTGCTGCCTGCAGACTGATTATAGCTGCCCTGCTAGTCTTTCAGAAACAATTGTGCTTTCTCTGGGTAAGTAAAACTCTGGAGGTCTTTGGTATCTTTCTATCCCATGTGCCCTGACCATCCTCAACACAGAATTAAACTACCGTATTTGCCGGCGTATAAGACGACCCCCTACTTTTCCTGCTAAAATGTAGTGTTTGGGCTATACTCGCCGTATAAGACTACCCCTCTTCCAATGCACAACAGTGGGAGGAATAGTGCCCCATCATTGTTGTCAGTGGGAGGAATAGTGCCGCATCATTGGTATTAGTGGCAGGAATAGTGCCCCATCATTGGTATCAGTGGGGGGAATAGGTGCCCCATCATTGGTATCAGTGGCAGGAATAGTGCCCCATCATTTGTATCAGTGGGAGGAATAGTGCCCCATCATTGGTATCAGTGGCAGGAAATACTGCCCCATCATTAGTATCAGTGGGGGGGAATAGTGCCCCTATTGGTATTAGTGGCATCATTGGTATCAGTGGCAGGAATAGTGCCCCATCATTAGTATCAGTGGGGGGAATAGTGCCCCATCATTGGTGTCAGTGGGAGGAATAGTGTCCCAACATTGGTGTCAGTGGGAGGGGAATGGTGTCCCCATCATTGGTGTCAGTGGGGGGTGGAATAGTGCCCCATCATTGGTGTCAGTGGGGGGTGGAATAGTGCCCCATCATTGGTGTCAGTGGGGGGGGGGAATAGTGCCCCATCGTTGGTGTCAGTGGGGGGGGGGGGAATAGTGTCCCATCGTTGGTGTCAGTGGGGGGGGGAAATAGTGCCCCATCGGTGGTCTCAGTGGGAGGAATAGTGCTCCATCATTGGTATCAGTGACACCAATGATGGGGGCACTATTCCTCCCACTGACACCAATTACACTTGCTGACCCTGTTCTAGTATGGTGCTGCTGCAGCCAGCATATGTGGTTGCAGCAGCACCTCTACACTGAACACTTACCTGCTGCTCCTGCACTCGATTTTCGCGGGGCCGCTCGGCTCCGCCCCCTCGCCGGAGCCGAGCAGCCGTGCGAACATCCAGTGGCCGAACTGAAGGAGCAGCCGCGCTTCCTGGACCGGATCGTCGTGAGACCGGAGCCAGGTAAGAAACAGCCCCTGCCCACCCCTGTACTTAGTGTCCCTTCCATTGGAAGGGGGGGGGGGCGGCGGTGGCACCGCGCCACCCCCCCCCCTAAAAAGTGTCAGTATGCCGTATACCGGCGTATAAGATGACCTCCGACTTTTGAGAAGATTTTCAAGGGGTAAAAAGTCATCTTATACGGTATATCTTAATAATCTACAAAAGATGTATTATATTGCAGCTTTCCAATCCTAGATGTGGTGGCTGCATCCATTTTCTTTTTTAGGCTTTATTCCACTTGGCTATCTGGCCAGTAAGTCTGTTATTTTTTTAGCTTCCTTTACCAGACCAATCTGTCCAGCAAGAGTGTGAGGCAGGCCATAAATTATGCAATTTTCTTTCCTCCCACCATGGGTAGAAGAAAAAGAAAATTACTCAATTCCCCATCAACAAAATCAGTGTTGATGGGGAATCCTTCCCACAGCGCTTTCTGTTCTGTTTGCAGGAAGCCTTCCCCACTGGCAGAACACAATGATCACTGCTGGCAGCTACAGCCACTGGCAGTGATGGCATGAAAAAATTTGACAGGCTGGTTTTACTAAAATTAATGGATCAACTTCAATACAACCAGCCTGCCCATACATGGATCAAATCTCACTGACTAAGCCACTGTGCAACATTAACCTATAAAATGTAAATGCCTTAAAGCTGTATTAAACCCAAACACAAAAATAGAATATGTTGCAGCTTACCAATCATTAGATGTGGTGGCTCCATTAGTTTTATTTCTTTAGGCTTTTTTCCCCCTCTCTTTTTACCTGGTGATCTAGTCAGTTACACACCTCCTGTATTAGAGTGTCTACACTCACAATGAAGAGAGACAGCCTTGGGAAGCAGCATTTTCAATCTGGGGGGAAGGGTAATGTTCGGTGTATTTGTAGGTTTAGATACACTAACAAACACCTTGAAGCCAAACCTACAGTTATTTTATAAGCAGTTACAACAACAGTTTTTTTTTTGGAATAAAGATTTTAAAGTACAACGGGGAAAATAATTATTTGATCCCCTGCAGATTTTTTAAGTTTACAAAGAAATGAAGGGTAATTTGTATCATTGGTGTACTTTAAATAGAGACATAATATCAACCAAAAATCCAGTAAAAAAAAAAACACATGACACAAAGGGTATTAATTGAGTTGCAGTTCACTGAGTAAAATAAGTATTTGATCCCTTACCAACCAACCATAATTCTGGTTCCCACAGACTGGCTATGTGCTCATGTGGTACACAGATTAGTCCTGTCAATTTAGAAGATGCTCCTAACAAAAAAAAACTTGTAATGTGTATAAAAGACACCTGTCCACATAATCTCATTCTTCCTCACCATCATGGGCAAGAGCAAAGAACTGTCAAATGACCCCAGGGACAAGATTGTAGACCTGCACAAGGCTATAATGGGCTACAAGACCATTGTCAAGAAGCTTGGTGAGAAGGAGACAACTGTTGGTGTGATTATTCGCAAATGGAAGAAATATAAAATAACCATCAATCGCCCTTGGTCTGGAGCTCCATGCAAGATTTCACCTCATGGGGTAAGGATGAATATGAGAAACGTGAGGGATCAGCCCAGAACTACACAGAAGGAGCTTGTGAATGATCTGAAGGTAGTTGGGATCAGTCATCAAACAGACCATTGGTAACACAATACGCCACCACAGGTTGAAATCCTTCAGTGTCCGCAAGGTCCCACTCCTGAAGAAAGCCTGTCTGAAGTTTGCCAATAAACATCTAAATGATTCAGAGAAGGATTGGGAGAAAGTACAGTAGTTGATGAGACCAAAATTGGGCTCTTTGGCATTAACTCGACTTGCCGTGATTGGAGGAAGAAAAATGCTGAATATGGGCCTAAGAAAACTATCCCTACAGTCAAGCACGGAAGTGGAAGCATTATGCTTTGGGGCGGTTTCTCTGCTAAAAGTAAAGGCTGACTTTGCCGCATTACGGGGCCAATGGACGGGGCCATGTATTGTAAAATCTTGGTTGAGAACCTTCTTTCCTCAGCCAGAACACTGAAGATAGGTCATGGATGGGTCTTCTAGCATGACAATGACCAAAAACATATTACTAAGACAACAAAGGAGTGGCTCAAGAAGAAGCACATTAAGGTCAAGGAGTGGCCTAGCCGGTCTCCAGACCTTAATACTATAGAACATTTATGGAGGGAGCTGAAAATTCAAGTTGCCAAGGGGCAGCAAAGATACTTTTAGGATTTAGAGAAGGTATGTAAAGAAGAGTTGACCTAAATCCCTCCTGAGAAATGTGCAAACCTGGTAAGTCCGGTTTTGCTTGGGGATCAAATACTTATTTTACTCACTGAACTGCAACTCAATTTATAACATTTGTATCATGTGTTTTTTTTTTCTGTTTTCTAGGTTGATATTCTGTCTCTGTCATTTAAAATACGCCTATGATAAAAATTATAGACCCTTCATTTCTTTGTAAGTGGGCAAACTTACAAAAGCTGCAGGGGATCAAATACCGTATTTTTCGCTCCATAAGACGCACCTAGGTTTTAGAGGAGAAAAACATGGAAAAAAATATTCTGAACCAATGGACTGCAGACATAGTACAGGAGATGACCAGAGACTGCGGACATAGTACAGGAGATGACCAGAGACTGCGGACACAGTACATGAATGACCAGAGACTGCGGACACAGCACAGGAGATGACCAGAGACCGCGGACACAGTACAGGGGATGACCAGAGACTGCGGACACAGTACAGGGGATGACCAGAGACTGCGGACACAGTACATGAGATGACCAGAGACTGCGGACACAGTACAGAGATGACCAGAGACTGCGGACACGGTACAGGAGATGACCAGAGACTGCGGACACAGTACAGAGATGACCAGAGACTGCGGACACAGTACAGGAAATGACCAGAGACTGCGGACACAGTACAGGAGATGACCAGAGACTGCGGACACAGTACAGGAGATGACCAGAGACTGCGGACACAGTACATGAGATGACCAGAGACTGCGGACACAGTACATGAGATGACCAGAGACTGCGGACACGGTACAAGAGATGACCAGAGACTGCGGACACGGTACAGGAGATGACCAGAGACTGCGGACACGGTACAGGAGATGACCAGAGACTGCGGACACGGTACAGGAGATGACCAGAGACTGCGGACACGGTACAGGAGATGACCAGAGACTGCGGACACGGTACAGGAGATGACCAGAGACTGCGGACACGGTACAGAAGATGACCAGAGACTGCGGACACACGGGTACAGGAGATGATCAGAGACTGCGGACACGGTACAGGGGATGACCAGAGACTGCGGACACGGTACAGGGGATGACCAGAGACTGCGGACACGGTACAGGGGATGACCAGAGACTGCGGACACGGTACAGGAGATGACCAGAGACTGCGGACACGGTACAGGGGATGACCAGAAACTGCGGACACGGTACAGGGGATGACCAGAGACTGCGTACACAGTACAGGAGATGACCAGAGACTGCGGACACGGTACAGGGGATGACCAGAGACTGTGGACACAGTACAGGGGATGGCCAGAGACTGCAGACACGGTACAGGGGATGACCAGAGACTGTGGACACGGTACAGGGGATGACCAGAGACTGCGGACGTAGTACAGGGGATGACCAGAAACTGCGGACGTAGTACAGGGATGACCATAAACTGTGGACGTAGTACAGGGGATGACCAGAAATTGCGGACACAGTTCAGGAGATGACCAGACACTGCGGATGTACAGTAGTACAGGGGATGACCAGAGACTGCGGACAGTTATTTATTTTAGTGTTACTAAGTTTTTAATTTATATTTTTATGGATGATGCTCGGCTAACAGAGTGAAAAATTATTATTACTATTATACAAGATTTATATAGTGCCAACAGTTTGTGCAGAACTTTACAACATGAGGACACTCAATACAGTAACAATACAATTCAATACAGGAGGAATCGGAGAGTCCTGCTCGTTAGAGCTTACAATTTATAAGAACATCTATAGCAAGAGGTATTTTTCAAGCTGGATTGGTACCTTTAAAAAAAAATCTAAACCCCTTAATTAGAGTTGTTATGGGAACATCCAAAGGTTTGAGCAGATTGTAGAATGCCCTTTGTTGAATCAGAGGCGGTTAGAATAGAGTCAATAGGTGGTTAATTACAATTAGCGTGAGGAACTAATCCTAAAAATTCACCAGAGCGCATTGCAAATAATCACATACAGTCTAATCTAGCAGCTTTCACTGCTAAAGAAGTGATCACAAAGGTCATCACAACCAAGAATTTGAAGAGCGAGCGGTTTTGTCACTCATAGCTGCCAATCAAAATTTTCCTAGTAACAAGCAGGAGAGACTAGAGGACCTCATGCACACTGGAAATTTTAAACATTTGGCATTTTGTTTTTGCCTCTAAACACCCGTACATGTTAGCTTACGTGTCCATGTACACATAGGTGCTTAGAGGAGTTAGGAGGCAGGGGCATTTAGAGGGAGGAAAAAACCCCACTGCCAGCACGTCCAGGAGCAGCAGCGTTTTGTCAGAAAAAACACCTGACACATGTAATTGCGTGGTAGTGCTAGGTGTGTTTACCGTTTTAGAGATAATTCATTTCAGTGGTCAGAATAAATCACTATTCTGGTCAAACAAAATAACTAAAGTGGTTGTAAACCCTTACATATACCCAGTGACCTGACTGGCCTCAGGCGATACACAGAAATTAAACAAATCCTCCTACATAAGTTGTATCTGGTTATCTGCAGTCTTCTCTTTTTTACATCCGTTCAAAGTCCAGAATTTTATAGCTTGTCTGCGAGTTCAGAAAAAAGGGGGCGGAGAGCTGAAATTACGCTACAGAGCTCAGTGAGGAGAGCTCTGAGAGTTGATTGGAGGAGGAAGGGACACACCCCCTTCCACACAGCTCAAAGGACCAGAGCTGAGGATGTCAATCTGTTGGAAGTCCCTCCCCTGTCACCATTTTTCTCTTGGTGTCAGGAAAACTTGTCAGAAGTGATTCATGCTGATAGCAGAGGAAGGAAGCAGAGGACAGAAATTACACTTAGTGCTCTTAATTGAGACAAGTACACACTATAGAGGGATATGCTTTGTTCATATTTCATATCTGAGGTTTACAACCACTTTAACACCCAAGCGATTGACGTGCCTAAACACGTTATACGCATTTACAAGCATCAAGCATTTTTCTCCCAAAACGCCATTACCAGGAGGAAAGGCATCTAGGAGAGTTGGCCAAAGCATGCAGTGTGTACATGAGGCTTAAAGTGTTACTAAACCCAGGACCCTGCATTCACTATATCTGGTCTCCCACAGTACACACAACATGGAAATGCAATTATTTTAGTAAATATAAACTGCTAAATAACTTTCTCATCGGCAGTTAGAGCAGTTTTGTGACTTCAGCAGATCACTGGTTAAACCTTGTAGGAGGAGTTTTCTTTCTGCTCTAGGAGGATGCAGAACCCCTCAGCTCTGTCTGGACAGTGCTGATTGGCCATGTGATGATCACATACACTCTCCCAAGAAAAAAAAAACCTCTCTAGCAATACAAACTCAACTGAGTATGTGGCTATGGCTTCCGTCTGTCTTATCAGGTGGACATTTGAACAAGAGGAGGGACAGAGAAAACAGGATCAAATTGTGATATGGAAAATGTGTGAGTTTAATAATTGAAATAATTGTTTATTTTATAATGTTAAAACCAATAAAAGATATAACAACAACAACAACAAAAAAAAAAGGATCAAAATGGCCTTTTTACACAATGCAGAGGATTAACCGCTTAGGTTCCACAGTGAGTATAACACGCATGCTTTACTGCATATACAGACTGATTTTACTGTTGTGGGTTTAGTAACACTTTAAGGTGTAACAACCTTTATGAGGACATAAACCAAAAGATAATTTTGATAAGAGTTTGGCATAATCAATGCTTGAACTTTAAAGCTGGCCATACTCCATGCTACAGAAAATGCTAAAGATGGTCAGTCTGACCTCTGGACATGGAGGGGTTAGAACCAGAAACAGCCAAGTCAGCACTGGCAGCCTAAAGGTCTCTTTCAATGCAGGCTTCCTTGAGCTTGGGTTCACATATGTGCGGTTTGGTACATCGCATGTGATTCGCACAGGAACCGCAGGATTTCCTGTGCAAATCACATGTGATTTGTGTGCGGTGTGATTGAAGCCATATATTTTGTATGGCTCTAAATCGCAACGCACCAAAAACGTGCAGGACCCTTTTTTTGGTCTGCACTAGAATCGGATCGCATGGCTATTGACACCTATGCGATCTGATTCTGCACATCGCACCACATTTTGCGGACCGCTTTCGGGGTGTTGTTAACATACACACCCGCTGCGGTTCGCATGAACGGGGTGCGATTCTGATGCGGTGCAGAATTTGCACAGAAAATGCTGCGCATTCCACACCGCATCAGTGTGAACCAGGGCTTAAATAGACATTGTTGAGCGTACAACCCAATTCCCTTCTACAATTAAAACCAACTCAGGATTATGCTTGCTTGTGCAGTCACAAATCAATTTTAAATTGGGCAGCTGTACATCAATAAAGCCAGGATAATGCATTACAGATATTTCCAGTGATGTCACTTTCTGTGATCAGAGTCCAAACACCAGGCTGGGAAAACTAGACTGCACACTAGGATGCATTTTGTGATTCAGGCAGTCAGGAGAGGAGATGTAGGAGTGTTCACAGGGTCCGGCCACTGAACTTTAACCTGTGAAGACTGCTGAATGCTGAGATACTGGTTTCAGCTTGATGTATAGAGACCTAATCCTACTCCAAAAACCCAACAGCTTTTTATTATGCATCAGTGACCCTTCTATAACCAGACTAGCTGTTGTAATCAGAAAGAATGAACTTGTACACAAGGGACAAAAAGAATTTAAAAAAAAAAAGCCTTTAAAAGATATTTATTGAAAAAGGTTTTTGTTGAGGATGCAGAACAGGAACATTGTTAAAGCTGAACTCTAGGCACAAAATGTTCATTTAAAGCTAAAAATATAAGCTATTTAAATACATTGCTCAACTGCCTCAAAATCAACTTTGTGTGCACCAATGCCTTTGCGAACCTCGATATGACCTTGTAAAAGTAATGCTGACATCCTCACTGTGCTGCACATAGCCTGTACAGACAGTAGAGTTGTAGGAGGACCCAGCAGACTCCACCCACTAGAGGCTGCCTGCAGAAAACTACAGAAAGGGGGCGGAGACAAGACCAGTCAATCTGCACAAGTTGAGAGAGCAGCAGTGGCAGGTCTTTAATATTGAAAGCTCCTGCACAGAGGCAATGTTTTACACTGGGCTACTGCACAGGTTTGGGAGAAATACACAAAACATTCATACAAGGGGCATGTGTATTCAAGTATGAATGACAATTGCGCGGTCATCTAACACTATACCCATATGAATTTTTTTTAGCATTTTTTTGAGACAGATAACACTTTATTTTGGTGGTCTTTATTCACCACTGGGATTTTTATTTTTTTTTTGCTATTTAAATGAAAAAGTCCAAAAATTTTGTAAAAAAAGTGTTTTTCTTATAAAAATTTTGCAAATAAACAATCTTTCTTCATAAATCCTGCCCAAAATGTATTCAGCTATCTTTTTAGTAAACAAAAAAATAATAATAATCCAAATTAGTTTATAACCAAAAATTATAATTTTTCTAAATTTGTTTTAAATTTGAAATTTTTTTTAGATTAGTATTTATGTTTTGTTTTTTTTTTAACATATGATCACCCTAGCAGTACTACTTGTGAGGGGTGATGAAGATTTTTTTTTTTCTTTTTTTACACCAATTGCTTTTTTACACCCATAAAGGCTGCAAAAGCAATCATTACTACCGGTATTTCTCTCTGGCTGCATTCTTACAGCCATTGAGAAATATTGTGAGAGCTGTGATTGCTCACAGCTTGTCACAAGGTACAAGGCTGTTGTGAATAGCCTTGTACCATGTGATCTCTGTGATCATTCACAGATTTCACAAGTAGTAAGCAATGATGTCAGGAAGTGACATCTTATTTACTACTGCTCATGTGATCACTGCTTGGCCAATCAGTGATCACATGAATCGGGACCTCACATAGAGGTCCCGTACAGTGATCTGTGTTCTGCTGTGTCCTCCAGACATAGCGGGTAGCGGATTGTGCTGCTGCGCGCTCCCGGGGAGCGTGCACAGGCAAGTGAATGCGGGTGACGTTTAGAAACGTCAAACCACTTTGGCACTGCTCTCGTCCAGCCCATGTCTATAAACAGCCGGACAGGAGCAATGCCGAAGCAGGTTGACGTTTCTAAATGTCACCCGCATTCACTGCCTGAGCGCGCTCGCTGGGAGCGCATGGACCGCAATCCAGTGCCTGCTGTGTCCTCCGGATACAGAGGAACACAGATCACTGTACGGGTTAAATTATGTGATGCTGCCGTTGTTCGTCATCAATGAAAGTACTAGAAACCTGTAAAGTAGGTCACCGTCATATAACTGCCAAGCACATGGAGGGCGACTGGGATGTGGAACAATTTCAAGAGAGAACCTGCAGACACGGGACAGATACCTACATAGTAACCATAACAGTGTCCTATGTAATCTATGTCCCCCTGCATGTTAGTAGAGAAATTTTAATTAAAATCAAGGAGTACAAGAAAAATACTTTAGGAGTCCATGCATTTTGCATTTTTTCTTCAGTCTGTAGAAGCAGCTCTTTGTTAGTCTATGTGTCCATGCATATTAGGAAGTTTAACACA